CCCTCCCCTCCCCTCCCTTTCCCTCCCCTCGCTTCCCCTCCGCTCCCCTCCTGTCTCCCAGACCCCACTTTGTCCATGCGGAGCAGGTAGGTATCGATGATGTCCCGGGGCGCGCCGGGGTCCAGGGTTTCGCGGTGCTCCTCCACGCTGCGGCTGATGAAGGCATTGATTTCCTGCAGGTTTTTGTGGATTTGCCGGTGAGGGCCGGGAAAGTGCTTCAGGAAGTCCGGGAAGAGCTCGAATACCTGGGAAGAAGCAGGGGCTGCGCGGTGAGATCCGCCTGGGGCCGAGCTAGTGGGGTCACTGCGAGGGCGGTCCTCCAGCCTTCTAATACCTCCCCAGAAGCAGCCCACCCCTGTTCCTGCCTGGCAGGCCCGTCGCCACCCTCCCTCACCCGCTCCCTGACCTGGCTGGAGAAGGAACTGATCAGCGCGAAGGACTGGTAGAACATAGCCAGGAGCCGCAGGAACTCGGGGTCTTTGAAGTGGAAGCGTTTTCCAAAGACAATGGAGCAGATGATGTTGGCGGTGATGGCGTGGAAAAAGAAGGTGGGGTCCAGGAGGGCTCCTAGGTGGAGGAGAGGGCAGGGCAGGGGGCAGGAATTCAAGGGCATGGGTGGAGGGAGCCATTTGCCTGCTACCCAGACTCTGGGTAACTGCTCAGGAATTCTAAGAATCAAAACCTCTAACACTCACTTAGGAGCTCGGGTAGCATAGTGGCTAAAGCACTTGACTGCTCACCCGAAGGCTGGCGGTTCAAACCCACCAGCCACTCCTCGGAAGGAAGGTTGGGCAATCCTACTTCCGTAGTGATACTGCCTCGGAAACCCAAGGAGGGGTCGCTATGAGTCGGGGCCGACTCGACAGCACATAACAACAACAACAACAACACTCACTAGCTCTTATCATGCACCAGGCCCAGTTGTAAAGCACTTCACTTCATTCTCACCACTCTGTGGCAAGGACTCAGTTCTATTCATATCTCCATTTTGTAAATGGGCAAACAGAGAGGTTAAGTAACTTGACCAAGTTTGCACAGCTACTGATTGCTGGGGCCAGCATTCAGACCTAGACAACCTGGTGACAATGCTTGCTGTTGGCCCTTATCCAGCATCTGCTTGGGAACCTCAGCTCTGTGAACCTCTACCCAATTCTGTGAACCAGTAAAGTCCCAGGGGCAGAGGGTGACACGAAGTAGGTACTCAATCGATTGTTTGGGCAAATTAAAAAGGCCTGGTCTTTCTATCCTCAGCTGTCACTCCACTTCCGTCTCCTCTCTCCACCTCTAGGGCACTCTGATCTTCATTTGTCTGTTGATGCTCGTATTGACCACGTTCTGCCCCATTCCTCATTGAAGAGAGGATGGTGGTGGGCTGGGAGCCCAAGAACGTCCAGTTAGTGCAGTCTCTGTGTGTGTGTGTGTCTGTCTGTCTGTCTGTCTGTCTGCATCATCATGTCTGTCTTCTCTCGTTCTTTTCTGTAGAACGCTTCCTGAGCCTTGTCTAATTTTTTTTTTACTGTGGTAACCAAATATTTGCCATTTCAGCATTCTTCACATCTGCATTTCAGTGTCTTTAGCTTATGTTCATCATGTTTTCAACCATCACCCATATCTGTTCCCAGATTTCGCCATCACCCTCACCAAAAGCTCAGTGCCCTTTACCCATTGATTTCTCCTTTCCCCTTCCCTCTGCCCATCCCTGGTCACCTTTGGTCTCTAGACACTTCTCTGTTCTAGATATTTCGTATAAGTGGGATCTCACAATGTTGTCCTCTCACTTCATGCCCATGAGGTTTGGTGGTCCAAACAATCAAGCATTCAACTGCTGACTAAAAGGTTGACAGTTGACCCAGCCAACCAGAAGGCTGGTGGTTCAAACCCACCAGCCACTCCCTCGGAAGGAAGATTGGGCATCTTCTTCCATAGATATCCCACCTTGGAAACCTAAGGAGGGGTCACTGTGAGTCAGAAATGACTCAATGGAGGTGAGTTTGTTTTTTTTTTTTTTCAGCAGCTCCATGGGAGAAAGACCTGGAAATGTGCTTCCATGAGACTACAGCCAAGAACATCCTATTGGGGGGGGGGGGGCAGTTCTACTCTGTCATATGAGTTTGCTATGAGTTGAAATCAGCTGGGTGATACCTAACAACATATATTGTATTATGCTAATATTGTATTATTATGTTATTCCATGTCCTGTTTCCCTTGACTACAAGTAAATAGTGTATGCCTTTGAGTTATTGACACCCTATGGACCCCCCCATCTCTCTCTGGTTCTGTGTGTCTCTCCTACCTATTTCTGTCAGTCTCCATTCCCCTCTCTCTCTCTCTCTCTGATAGTCTCTTGGTCTCCATCTTCTATCTCTACCTCTTTTTGTGCCCACAGATACGTCTCTTTCTCGTGCTGTGCACCCCACATCTCTCTCAGTTTCGCTGCCTTTCTTTCCTACCCATCTCTCCCTCCAGAGCTCACCCTTGGATTTCCGCAGCTCCTCCACCAAGCACTGAGCCTCCTCCTGGATCCGTTCCTCCACGCTCCGCTTACCCATCCCAAAGTCTCTCATGGTAGCCAGAGAGAATCTCCGGAGGGCTTTCCAGCGTTCCCCATTGGCAAAGACCACACCTGGGGGTGTGGAGGAGGCATGGGTTTCAGAGAAAGTTAAAAGAAGACACTGAGCCCCACTCTGCCCTGTGTCTTCCCGTCCCAGATGCCTTCTCCCCAGTTCCCGTCCTCCACCCCACCCCTCAGTGCCTTTGAGCTTCTCACCGTATCCCTGGAAGATTTGCTCAACACTGGCGATTGTCCCCCGGCCGGAGAAGGCCTCAGCTTGGTCTACCAGGGCCTCCCGCAAGGTCTCTGTCCCACACAGCATGACCACAGGCCTCGGCCCCAGGTATACAGTAAAGACATCCCCGTATTTCTTTTGGAACTGTCAAACATACCCACACCCAGGGTTGCCAATTAGTCAGTATGTACCTCTAAGCCATAACCAAAAAAAAAAAAAGTTGCCATGGAGTCACTTCTGACTCATGGTGACCCCATGTGTATCAGAGTGGAACTGTGTTCCATCAGGTTTTCAGTGGCTAAGTTTTCAATAGATTGCCAGGCTTTTCTTTCAAGGTGCCTCTGGGTTGAACCCCCAGTCTTTCAGTTAGCAGCCAACAGTGTTAACTGTTTACATCACTAAGCCCTTACAACATTTACATATAGGTTGGTAATTAGTCATTGCCTCTAGATACTCCTCTCTGGGTTACTCTTCCCCGCCTCTCAGGACCCACAAGACTTCCCCAGGACCCAGAAACTAAAGAGTCAACCCTTGGCCCAGCTAAAGTCTGCTGTGATTGGTTAATGCCTGAAGCTATACACATGGTTAAATATTTCTGATATCACGCTGCCCATATCCTTGAGCCTAACCACATCTCCCTGGCATCACAGCTAAAAAATCATCTTTCTTAGGATTCATCTGCTATCTGCCAGCTGACAGTTCCCACAGAGAACAACCCCAAACCACCCACTTTGTAGACAAGTAGGGAAAATGACATTTGGAGTGAAGGAGTGGAACAAGGGAGCCGTGCACCTTTGGGATGAGCCTCACTGGTGGAATGAGATGCCTCCAGGTACTTATTGATAGAGCTAAAGAGCTTTGTAGCTGTTGCTGGAATAGGGGCAGAGGACAGGCTGAGAGGCCAAGAGTCACAGAGGGACTTCCCTGTGGGCATAACTGAGAAGAAGTGTTCTGATAGAAAAGCTGTATCCTGAGTCATTTCTGATTCTGAATTGTAACCTGTTACTTCCCTAATAAGCCCCATAACTGTAAATAAAACAATTAAAAAAAAATGGAAAGTGATAGCACTTTGACAACAATCACGCCATGTGGAAAATCATTTCTAGATGCATGCGCAATGGGAACGTGTACATGTGGTCACCAAAAATGTACAAGGATAGTCATAGGAGCCTTATTATTAAAATGCTCATCAGCATAGATGTTGAATCAATGCAGAGTGACACCAGGGAATATTATACAGCAAAGAAAAAGAAAAAAAAACCTACTGCTATACACAACAACATCATGGATAAATCTCACAGACATCATGTTGAGTGAAAGCAGCTAGACACAAAAGAGTCCATGCTTGCTACTTCTATTTATATGAAGTTCCAAAACAGGCAAAACTGATCAATGGTGTCAGAATAGTGGGGCTGGGGGATGGGGATTGTGACTGCAAGGGGTTGTGAATGGGCCTATCATGTTCTCTTACTTGCTTTACATGTCAATCATATGGGTGTGTTCAGTTTATGAACATTCATTGAAGTGTGCACTTAAGAAGGAGCTCTGGTGGTGAGTGGGTAAGGTATTTGTTTACTAACCAGAAGGTCCATGGTTCAAACCCACCAACTGCTCCACGGCAGGAAGATAAGGCAATCTAATCTACTCTTGTAAAGATTTTCAGCCTTGGAAACCCAATGAGGGTGGCTATGAGTCAGAATCAACTCGTTCCCAGTGGGATTGGGCTTTTGCTTTTATTTTGGATTTCTGCACTTAAGAGTTGTGCAATTTTTAGGATGATGAAAGTAGCACGGGCTGTCAAAAGAGCTAATCAATCTGTTCCGGAAGAAGTGCAGTCGGAATGCTCCTTGGAAGAGAGAATGGCCAGACTTCGTCTGACCTACTTCGGTCAGGTCATATGGTCAGAAGGGACCATTCCCTGAAGAAGGATATCATGCTTGGTAAAGTGGAGGGTCGGCAGAAAAGGGGAGAGCCATCAACAAGATAGATTGATGGGGTAGCTGCAATGATAGGCTGAGGTATAGCAAGGATTGTGAGACTGGCATAGGACTGAGCAGTGTTTTGTTCTGTTGTACATAGGGTTGCTATGAGTCAGAGCCGATTCTATGGCACCTAACAACATATGAGGAGGAGCCACAGCTTTAATCAAATTCTTGAGAGATTTATTAATCCCAAAATTGTTCAACAGCTTTAGTCTATGGGGACACTGGAGAGAAACCAGTCTCCCTACTGGATGCCAGCTCCACCTCCTACCAACTGTGTAACTGTGGACAAGTGTTTCCCCACTCTGAGCCTCGCTGGCTTTACTTCTAACAAGGGGAGAGCTCCTCGCCTAGCCCACAAGGTTTTTATCAATGAGGCCTGATAAACTCCTACCAAAATACAGATGAATCCTAGCCACATAACTCTGGATGAAAAACTAAGCCCAGGACATCACATAACAACAGGATAGTCTTGCATTGAAATCAGCTACATCTAAATAATGCATTTGAGATATCCACCTATGTGGTAAAAATTTCTCTCTAAAAAGTAAAGGAAGGAAAAAAATAATAAAGATTAATAAAAATAATAATAATAAAAAAAAAACAAAAAAAAAAACCTCATTACTGTTGAGTCGATTCCAACTCATAGCAAACCTTCCTTGGGTTTCCGAAGCAGTATCTCTATGGAAGTAGATTGCCCAGTCTTCCTTCTAAGAAGTGGCTAGAACCACCAGCCTTCTTGTTAGCAGTCAAATGCCTTAGGGCACTACGCTACCAGATAAGTGACACAAAGAAGAAAAAAACAATAGAACCAAACATCAATAAAATTGACAGACCTTTAGGTAGACTGACAAAGTAAAATGCAAATAACTAAAATCAGAAATGAATGTGGGGACATTACATCCCGATCATACAGAAATAAAAACGTTTATAAAAGCATACTGTGAGCAATTGTACACCAACAAATTTAATAATCTAGATGAGATGGACAAACTCCTGGAAACACACAAATTACCTAAATTGACTCCAGAATAAGTAGAAACTCTCAGTAGGCCTATAACAAGTGAAGAGATTGAGGCAGTAATCAAAAACCTCCCAACAAAGAGGCCAGGGCCAGATAGATGTCTTCACTGGGGACTTCTATCAAACATTTAAAGAATAGAAATATTAAAAATTAGAAAAAAAATAAATAAAGGGATGATGAGCCCCAGATTCAGGAATGTGGTTGCCAAAGTGGAAGGGGACAGAGGAGCACAGGTGGCTAAAGTTACTGCAGTACTGTAGTTCTCTCCTGGAGGAGTGGGTCCATGGATGTTAATTACATTATTAATAAATAAATGCATAATTAAAAATGAAGTCATGCTTAGAAAGCAGTGATTGAGAGGTACCATCACAGGGCATTATGTTCCTTACGGATAAGCACTCTATAAAGCCCCTCTCAGCAGCCCTTCTCTTCCCTCTCTACTTGCCCTCCCTTTCCCCATTGCCCTGGCATTGACTTTAGCCAGTCTTCAATGCCACCTCATCTTTTCATCGCTTTGCAAGGTGCAGGCAGGCGCCCAGGGACTCTACAGAGGGAAGCAGGGAAGAGTGGAATTCTACACCTGTGGCTAACACCCAACTGTACTCAAGCATTTGGCCACTCCAAGGACAGTGCCTGTGCACTTTGATTAGAGTCGGAGGACCTTCTGACAATCTGACCACAATCCGCCATGCTTCAACTCTACGCACCTCGCATACCAACCTTTACACACTGCATCCCTGCTCCCGGAAGGATACCCCTCTCTTTCTTAGGGACCCTTGAGCCCACCCTCTGACCCCCGTCCGTTTGAGTCTTACCTTCAGGAAAGACTTGAGCAGACCTTTTCTGTCCATCTGCAGAAGGTTCCCCAAGAAAGGCAGAGGCCGGGGACCTGGTGGGAGACAGCCATGGCCTTTGGGGTGGCCCCTGGCCAACAGAAGTAAGAGGCCTGTGAAGAGGGCAAGGAGGAGGAGAACGCCAAGTTCCATGGCCCAAGTCTGTCTGCCACTGCACTACAGCCTTGAGCCTGGGCCTTTTGTATGAAGCAGCCTCCCCACCCAGTTATGTAATTCCATCTGTTCCTACCTCCCTTTGCATCATTGTCCTGGGGTGTGGACTTAGCAGAGGTGCTAGGGGATCCATACTTCCTGCTCGGGCAGCCAAGTGACCTTCTCACTGCCCCCTCCTCTGCCCGTCCCTAGATGTTGCCAGAAGCCCTGTGGCAAAGGTACCAAGGTCCATGTGAAAGTGTGCATGTGTTTTGTTTTTTGGAGTGTAGGTGAACATGCCCTTGTCTGCTTGGTTTTACTGTGTTTGTGCATTTATGCCTGCATGTACTTGTCCATGCTTCTGTGCCTCTCTGTGTGTGCTGGTGCTTGTATGATCTTTATATGTGAAGAGGTGTCAGTATTTTTGCAAATGTAGAGTTGTGTGTTTCCAGGTAGGAGCCTGGGTGTGCCTTTGTGTATGTTCTTGCATGTCTGTGGACTCATGTATATTTATATCATTTTAATTGGGAAGATGTGCTTGCATCTGAGTGGTGGTGGTGGTGTGACTTCCTGAGGGCAAATCCAGGTACGCTTGTGTGGGTTTATGTTGTGTGTGCCTGCAGATCTTCAAGCTCTATCTCTGCAATCTCTCCTCTGACAGCCACAGTCAGAGTGGTGGGAGAAACCAAGGGGGGGGGGTGTTGTTATTGTTGTTAGGTGTCATCGAGTCGTGTCTGACTCATAGCGACCCTGTGCCCAGCAGAATGAAACACCGCCCAGTCTCGTGCCAGCTCCATGATCCTTGCTACACTTGAGCCCGTTGTCACAGCCACTGTGTCAGTCCATCTCATTGAGGGTCTTCCCCTCTTTCATTGACCCTCTACCTTACTAAGTATGACAACCTGCTCCAGGGAATGGTCCCTTCTGACAACATGACCAAAGGAGGTAAGACAAAGTCTGGCCATTCTCCCTTTCAAAGAACATTTCAGCTGCACTTCGTCCAGGACAGATTTGTTAGTTCTTTTGTCAGTCCACAGTACTTTCAGCGTTCTTCACCAGCACCACATCGCAAAAACATCAATTCTTCTTTGGTCTTCCTTATTCATTGTCCAGCTCTCACATACATACGAGGCAATTGAAAATATTATGGCTTGTGTCAGGCTCACCTTAGTCCTCAAGGAGACCTCTTTGCTCCTCAGCACTGGAAAGAGGTCCCTTGCAGCCAACTTGCTCAGTGCTATATGTCGTCTAATGTCCTGACTGCTGCTTCCATTGGCATCGATTGTAGAACCAAGCAATGTGAAGTCTTTGACAACTTCAATCTTTTCTCCATTTATCGTGATGCTGCTTATAGGTCCAGTTGTGAGGATTTTTGTTTTCTTTATTTTGGGACATAATCCATACTGCAGACTGTATTCTTCAGTCTTCATCAGTAAGTGCCTCAAGTCATCCTCACTTTCAGCAAGCAAAGTTGTGTTGTCAGCATATCGCAGGTTGTTGCTGATTCTTCCCCCAATCTTGATGCCACATTCTTCTTCATATAGTCCACCTTCTTGGATTATTTGCTCGGCATACAGATTGAATAAGTATGGGGAAAGGATACAACCCTGACACACTCCCTTCTTGACTTTAAACCATGCAGTGTCCCCTTGTTCTGTTTGAACAACAGCCTTCTGGTCAATGTACAGGTTCCTGAGAACAGTCAAGTGTTGTGGAATTCCCATTCTTCTCAATGTCATCCACAATTTGTTATGATCTACACAATCCAATGCCTTTGCATAGTCAATAAAACACAAGTAAACATCTTTTTGGTATTCTTTGCTTTGAGCCAGGATCCATCTGACAGTAGCTATAATATCCCTCATTGCATGTCCTCGTCTGAATCCGGCTTGCACCTCTGGAAGTTCTCTGTCAATATATTGCTGCAACCGTTTTTGAATTATCTTCAATAAGATCTCACTTGCATTCAGTATTAATGATAATGTTCAATAATTTCCACATTCTGTGGGATCACCTTTTTTTGGAATGGGTATAAATATGGGTCTCTTCCAGTCAGTTGGCCAGGTAACTGTTTTCCAAATCTCTTGGCATAACTGAGTGAGTGCCTCCAATGGGGCATCTGCTTGTTGAAACATCTCAATGAGTATTCTGTCAATTCCTGGAGCCTTGTTCTTCGCTAATTCCTTCAGTGCAGCTTCGACTTCTTCCTTTAATACCATTGGTTCTTGATCACATGCCACCTCCTGAAATGGATGAAGATCAACCAGTTCTTTTTGGTACAGTGACTCTGTGTATTCCTTCCATCTTCTTTTGATGCTTCCTGCATCATTCAATATTTTGCCCATAGAATCTTTCAATATAGCAACTCAAGGATTAAATTTTTCCCTCAGTTCTTTCAGCTTGAGAAATGCCAAGCATGTTCTTCCCTTTTGGTTTTCTAACTCCAAGTTTTCCACATTTCATTATAGTATTTGGCTTTGTCTGCTCGAGCTGCTCTTTGAAATCTTCTGTTCAGCTCTTTTATCTTGTCATTTCTTCCATTGGCTTTAGCTTCTCTCCACTCTAGGGCAAGATTCAGAGTCTCTTCTGTCAACCATTTTGGTCTTCTCTTCTTTTCTTGTCTTTTTAGTGACCTCTTGCTTTCTTCATGGATGATGTTCTTGATGTCATCCCACAATTCCTCTGGTTTCCGGTCATTGGTGTTCAGTGCATCAAATCTGTTCTTTACATGGTCTCTAAATTCAGGAGGGATATACTCAAGATCATATTTTGGTTCTCATGGACTTGTTTTAACTGTTTTCAACTTCAAGTTTGAACTTGCGTATGAGCAGTTGATAGTCTGTTCCACAATCAGCCCCTGGCCTGATTTTGGCTGAAGATACTGAGCTTCTCCATCGCCTCTTGCCACAGATATAATCAATCTGATTCCTGTATATTCCGTCTGGTGAAGTCCACGTGTATAGCCACCGTTTATGTTGTTGAAAAAAGGTATTTGCAATGAATAAGTTGTTGGTCTTACAAAATTCTATCATGCGATTTCCAGCATCATTTCTGTCAACAAGGCCAAATTTTCCAACTACCGGTGATTTTTCTTTGTTTCCAACTTTTACATTCCAGTCACCAGTGATAATTAGCACATCTTGATTGCATGTTCGGTCAGTTTCAGACTACAGAAGCTGATAAAAGTCCTCAATTTCCTCATCTTTGGCTTTGGTACTTGGTGCATAAATTTGAACAATAGTCGTATTAATTCTGTGAGGGACACAGAATTAATGAGACGAAGAGATGGAGGGTCAGATGGAGAGAGACAGAGACAGGACCTGGCAGGTTAAGTGACCAGGTGTCTCAATGTCTCTGATGGTCCAGGCCAGCACTAAACAGTTCCCTCCCTGCTTCTAACTCTGTCTTCACAGTGCAAGACCATTTCCCTGACCCTCCCTCACAATCTGTGTGTGAGTGTCGCTCGCTGTCTCTCACTGTCTCAGTGTCTGAGCTGCAGGAGTGCAGGGACTGGGTCTACTTCACTTGATTGTCCACTGGGTTTGGATCTGTCTCCAACATCACCGTGACCCTGTACCCAGCCAGCCCCTGGCAGGGGTCTGTTCAAGTCCATACTTCTTGAATATGTGATTGAGTGTGTCTTTGTCTTCCCATCCAGGCCGGGGCCTGGCTTTTGACCTCCATCTGTCTCTGTCTTTTAAAAAAGAGGAGGGAGGAAGAGGGCAGCATTTTTCTTTGCAATTCTTGCTGGACCTGGGACGCTGACCCTGGCAGCTGAGTCACCCCATCTGTACTCCTTTGACCCAGGAAGAAGGGTCCAATGATCATAATCTCTCTAAGAGGTGCAGCCTGAACTTTTCTGACCTTGGAGAGGTGCCACCATAGACTTTCCTGACCCTAGGACCTGGCTCTGCTGTGCTGTGTAATGTAGGTTGAGCTTGGGACCTCATTCCTGGGAATCTAGAGATTCTGGGGCTAATAGGAAAGATGTGAAGTGCTTTACATAGAGTAATTTAATCCTCACACTTTGAAGTAGGAGTTGCTGTCATTCCCACTTTAGAGATGGGGAGAGTGAAGCACAGAGATGTTGAGAGTTTTACCCAAGGTCATATAGAAGATTAGAGTTGTGTTATCCAGTATGGTGGCTGCTTGCCAGATGTAACTAGTAAGCACTTGAAATGTGGCTGGTGCAACTAAGTACAGTTTTAATTTCAATAAATTTTAATGGAAAAGTTGATACACATTTTGGTTATTAGAAATCCTTTGAGTATGTTTGGAAATCATTTGGGGAAAAAAAGGGGGACCAGGTTTGCTGGTCTGATAGAGCCTGGTGGAACCACTGAAACTATGGCCCCTCGCTGCCCTTCAGGTCTGGAATTGAACCCATACCTGTGGCTTCCAACCAAGCAAAAGACAGGCATCTGAGTTGAACATTTACCTGAGGTAGATACACTCCTTGGAGAGAACAATCATGGGAAAAAGAAGGACTGTTTATGTACAGGGAGACAGCTCAGGGGGCAGGAGTGTATGGAGGGATGGACACAGGGAAGAGGTGTAACTACTATGGGGAGGAAGTGGGAGAGGAGCTGTTGCATTGTGGTTAATTGTGGTCAATGTCATGAGACAAAGTGTATGAGAACTGCTGTATGGAAAGTGAATTTGCTCTGTAAATTTTCACCCAAATCACAATTAAAAAAGAAAAGAAAACCCAAAAACAAAACAAAAAGAAATGAACTCTGGAGGTAGACTGCCTGGATTCAAAGCCTGGCTCCTGCTATGTATGATCTTGAGCAAGTTACAGTCTGACCAAATTTCTTCAACTATAAGATAGAATTAAAAAAAAAAAAAAAAAAGAACCTAACTCACAAGGTTGTTATAAAGATTAAGTGAGTGTATTTATAAAGCTATTAGTGCCTGGCACGTGATGAGCATCGTGTGTGTTAGCAATAAAAAAAGAAAGAAAGAAATCCTTTGAGTATGGTTGGGTTGGGTACATGAAT